ATCTTATCAGCTCTTAGCATATTGAGATCTTAAGGAGATAATACAAAAATATTGTCACTGACTATAGGTTATTTTGGCTGTGGCAGAATTTTCACATAATGATTTGGAAAATGTTTTTTCCTGATCTATAAGACAGTAGTATTGTTTGGTACATATTAAAATGAGTGTTACAGATTCCCATGTTTTACATTAATAAAACAGCCAGGCATCGAAGGGCTAGCAACTTCTACATTCCTTATATCTTTGGCAGCTTTAAAATTTTTGCTGACATCTAAGATTTTTCATTTTGCCTCAGATTCTTTTGTTATTATTGTTATTTTTGGTGCTGGAGAGCAAACCCAAGACCTCACACAGGCTAGGTGAGCACTCTACAACTGAGCTAATCGTCCAAGCCTCTCAAGTTTCTTCACATTTTAAAAGAAAACTAAATGACAGAGCCATACCAGGACAAGTCTCCTAAGTTCACCTACCCATATAGAACACCATCACTCACTGGCACAAAAGACTTTTAATTTAAAAATTACCCTGTGTGTATATGTGAAAACATGAATTCAGTATCCTTCATGGCAGACAAAAATGAAAATTTTACATTCTTCCCACCCAACAACTGTAAATTAACAAATCTCTGAAAAAATATAATTAAGTACTGTACTGAAACAATTCTGTTAGTAAGACCACAGGCTTCAGTCTCTACTCATGACAGAACCAATCGCTGTTAGGGTTATAAGGGAATACTTTTTCTCAGTAACTAAAATGAAACATCTGCTGGACATAGTGGCACACACTTGTGATCTCAGAACTGGGGTGCTGAGGTGGGATCACCGCAAGTTTGAGGCCAGCCTGGGCTACAAGAGTTCAAGTCCAGCCTGAAATATATAGTGAGATCCTGTCTCAAAAAAACAAAACAAAAACCAACAAATGTCTTACTGCATTTGGCGATAAGGTCCGTTGTACTTGAGTATGTATGTGGAACACAGAAGCTGGTATTGGTAACAGTTAGCTTTCCCCGGTCACTGCTCCTTGGCATGAGAGTTCATTCATCTCTGAACTCCTGGATGTGCATGGCTTTGCAGTTTATCAGTTTTCTGAAGCAAGGTTACCAGTGCAATCTATTTCTTATCTATAATGTGGGAAGAGTTACAGTTGTTTAGCCCACCGGCCTACTGTGGAGCATAACATGAATTTGTCATGTTTTCCTGGGATTCAGATATGGTTTGCATTGAACTCAGGTACTGTTTTCAAAATTACACATTTTGTCATTCTCTACATGTATGTATAAATTATATATTTACACATAAGTTTTACATATATAAAATATGCACATATATTATGTATTTTATACACTTATTAAAAAATAACATCACTAGCAGCTGACAGGCCATTTTGGAGGTGTCCAAGCTAGCAATGCATGTGCTTCATGCCTAGTATGGATTATGGCCTGCATTTGTATGACTGACACTCCAAAGGTTCTGGTGAGTTGGCTGCTGCTGAACAGCATGCACTTGAGATACAATTTAAATCTAGATTCTTAAAGCTAAAAGAACCCTTGGAAAAAACTGGTTTTGAATCCTCAGTTTACAAAGGCAGGTGTGAACTCAAGTTAAGTGACTTGTTCCAGTCATTTGGCTGGTGAAGGAATCAGAAGCTCTGATATTTTGTTTGCATGCCGTGACAGAAAAGGAGTGTGTTTGTAAGACATTCTGGGGTAAACTGGAGGGAACATGGGGGCTTGGTGAAAAACTCCATTTTCTTCATATCAAATAATTCTAAAATGTATAAATTATAAACAAAAGAAACTATCAGAAAAGATAGTACATAGCAAATATCTTTAAAAGGTAGACCTTTAACATATAGTTATTTTATATTTGAAACTGCAACATACAATGTCTGACCAGGATTTTATGATGAACACTTCAGTTTTTAAAAAAAGATCATTGAAGATCAATTTTGTGTGCATAAAAATATCATCTCTTTATTCATTTTGTGATACTGGAGATTGAACTCAGGGCCTTGTGAGTGCTCTACCACTGAGCTACACCCCCCCAGCCTGAGTGATTTTTAAGCAGTATTTTACAAACATTTAAGAATTTACAGAAGCATACATTTTGAGGACCAATAGCTCTTTTTTCTTTATTAATAAATATACTGAAGATCAATCAAATTTTTAAAAATATTTCAAAATAATACTCTACGTTACAGAAAGCACATGCATTGTTAAAGTCAAGGCCACCAGTTCAGATGCCAACAAATTGGCCTGTCAGCTACAAAAGTTCTGATTACTGCCTGGAAGTGAATCCACCCGAAGTCCACACTGCATTTGCACCTCCAACCCGCCCTGCAATGGTGATTGTGTGTGGGGTTTCATGGTATCTGGAACATAAATTCTTCCTTCCAGAGCAATGAGGTCTGCAGAAAGCCAGGTGCTAGGCCACCTGCTTGGCCTTGCTCCACCTTTCCCAGGGAGCAGCAGCTGCATGCTGTTGCTACCAATGAGGACCAGAGTCACCAAGACAGATTTTGGTCCTGGTATTAAAAATATGGGGCGGGGGAGCTGAAAGGCTAGATATCTTTATGTGGATTTCAGATAGCCAAAACTTTGTTGGCCCGGGCCCCTTCTGGTCTGCAGGGCAAGTGATCTGTACCAACTTGCTTCATGTTTCACATGCCACCCCTAACCCCAGCCTGCTAATACCCTGGGGAGATGCAGTCTCCCTCACTCTGCTCAAGCCTCCCCTCAAAGGAGCCTGTTGCTACAGGAGACAGCCAGCCTAGCTGAGGGATCAGAATTTCAGGCCCAGGTGCAGTATGCTGTCAAGAACTGTGAAGGGTCTGAAATCTTACCCTGTCTACAAGCTAACTAGCTGGCCTTCATGGATGCTGGCAGACTCCTGGGACAGAGGTAAGGATTTTGTTACTGTGGGCACCCCAGGCAACATGAGTTTTCAGTTCACATTTGTTCTATCTGCCCACCCAGTTCCCCAACAAGGTTATATTGAATAGGCTAAGTGGATGCCACACAGTATGATCTATAGCACAGCTAAGGAATCCCAAGCTTCGGAAACGTCCAGATATACAAGAAAAGCTGCTCTGCTAATCAGCCTGCCCAACATTTGTACTTTGAAGGAGACAATGAACTTTAATCAGGAAACACCTGACCAGCCAAGCATCTTGAGAAGATAGTATGGGATAAAAGCAGTCACAAGATATGTAGAAACACCATGGGAAATTGCTCAACATAAATCAGTTTCCCAGTGGCACCTGGCTTGGAAACCCTGGTTTCTCAATGTAAGAGGAAGGGAATGCCCTGGGGAAAAAACGGATTTTTAAACAAGCTGATAACTCTCCACAAATAGCAGCCACCAGGCTTCCCGTGTTGATGCCTGAGGACTAGCCAGACCTCAGGCTTCTCAACAGGGTCAGTGTGCAGCAACAAGGTAGCCCTGAGGTCTGCTGGCCACATTTGTCATATACAATGCTTAATAAAAACTATCCCTCATATTTTTAAATTAACAAGTGATAACTGCCTGAGCCTTTCCACTTAACAATTTTTAAAAACTACCTTAGACGTGTTCATTTGGCCGGGGGTGGGGGGTGG